CGTGATCCTTTTACTGCTCGACGTTAATGAGTTTACGGTGTCACTTTCACGGTTTCGGGAGATACACTGATCAGAATGTTTTTCTTTCCTATAATATCAATACCGGAATTCTTCTTGGAGAAATCATAAACCTGTTTAATCGCGAAGAGAAGATATTGGAAACGGTCAAAATTAGGCGAATAAAGACAATTGAGTCGTTTGTTACAAAGAATCGAAGAAATTCATATCGACGCACTACAACGAGCCGTGATCAAAAACTGAACAAGAAAAACACCGGTATTTCCGTTGCTGGAGAAAAAAAAATTCTGACAGCGATTGCGTTGAAGAGCAGTAATGAAAGGAAACAGCATTTTTCAACCATGAACCGCGAACAACGGTTATTCGTAATAAAATCATAAATTCACATTAAATTTTACAATCACGATTAACGGTGAACGTTCGTGTTCCAATGGACAAAGTATAGGATAGATGCCTGATGTTTCATAGAAATTTTAATCGGCTTCGTAATGCCATCTATAATTACGAACAGGGTGAGCCGAGAATGAAATTGAACCCAAGCGTTAATATTGCTAGAAAAATACTTAAAAAAAGAAAAGAACATCCATACACATTTACTTCCCGAACGCACGTACGCTAAACTAAAAATGATAAAATACGATTGCACTAGAATTGTTATCCTCGACAAAATCAACGCGTATCGTTCGCTCAACACGAATTCTTAGTACTAATGGTATCGTTACCCTATATTGCTTCAAATAAGCAACGACTGGGAAAATCGTATAGGTTCGTCAACTGTGAAACATAAAATTACGGATACTATCCTATAACAATGTCTGCCACCTCGATTACCAGTGATCAACGAGAATCGTATATTGCAGAACAGAACAAAAAGATCCTTTATATAAAATAATATACCCGCTAAAAAATATTTGGTTGAAAACTGGCATGGTAACAGAGCGTAGCAATGGTTCCCGTATAGTCCACGCGATTCTCCGACCGAATGAGTCAAGTGTCAAATGCTGTTTCCTTCTGCGGGACGGTTAATCCACCGAACTGTCGTACAAACGTTCCGATGCCCGTTATACAGATTTTAATAGCTAAAGCCAGGACGGTCGATGATGATGCGGCGGTGGTTGAAGCGCATAAAGGGAATGAATGTATTGTTGGTACGCTGTTGGGTCTACCGTTAAATTCGGTCCGTGCGGCGTGACGTAGGCTGAGACGGGTGGCCCGTACGCTGCTGATCTCTGTGCGGAATGAAGAAAAGGATGAGGCGGATAATTTCTCGGCGGTTGATTGGTGAGTTTGTTGCAAGCCTGTTGAGTGGCGTCCGTGACCGGGGGCACTTGCGGCTGTTGTTGTTGCTGTTGCTGCCTGAGCGCCATACTGTAGTAACTGTTCGGGTTCCGGAACTCATCCAGGAAGGCGAACGCGGCCGCCGCTGCTGACGCGTCCTTGTCGTAGAACGGTGAACTGGTGGTGGTGCTGGTCGACGCGGCGAAATTGAAAGCACTGCCAGTTGGAGGGACCATGCCGCTGTTCTTCAAACCGATCGAATCCGTCGGTGCACCGGTGTACTGCGGGAAGCCTGGTATGCCGGATGTCGGCTGTGGCTCAGTGCTGACCGCGGACGACACGTTCGCGACGTTCTGCTGCTCCTGCTGTTGCTGCTGTTGTTGCTGCTTGCTCTTCCTACTCTTTTTCGTTTTCGTAGGCGCGGATGCGGTACCCGTGACAGAGGCGTCGCCTCCTCTACGCGACATGGACAGTATGCCCTGCGTGTTCTTGGCGGCAGCCGTTTGCAAACTCTGAAGAAGATTGAGATCCAATTCCGCAGCCCCGGTAGCTGGACTGCGCGCATAAGCGAGGTGCTCGGGTTTCGTCGGCGGCGGCCGAGGGATCGTTAACAATTGCTGTTGTTCCTTGCTCGGCCGGCCCACCAAGCCGAGGCCCAGGCGAGCGTATGCCGGATTCGTGGCCACTGAATCGGCCAAGTTCCCCACGAACGAGGCATCGAATTGACTAGCTGAGATCGTATCCGGCTGCGGCAACGCCATTATTGGGTCGAAGGGGAACTGCTCCTGGCCAGGTCTAGCTCCGGCCTCCTGCGTCAAGCTGCGCGTCGCGTCGCTGGACGATTCATTGTATATACGTTTCTTTACGGGCGGAAGGTTGCTGGCCGAGCTATTTACAGACCCACCGGTGGCAGTCTTCGAGCTGGCGTCGAAATAGTGAGGGCTCGGGTAAACCGGCCTCGAGTTTGGCATCGCGTAGCCGGACGATTGAAAGCCGCTCGAGTAGAGAGATTCGTGCGTCGTAAGATTCTGCTGGAACGCCAACAACTGGGACTGCTGGTCCTGGGTTGGCAGCTGATCGCTGGCCGCTGACGTTTTGCCGAGGAACGAACGCTGCTGAACGTACTTCTGCGCGTTCAGGGATTCACTGAGATCAGTGAAGCTGGGGCGCTCTTGAGACGCCTGCTGTTGCTGCTGCGGTTGCTCCTGCCTCGATCTTTGCAGGTCGAGGTTGGGATAGTTGTTTCCGAACGTTGGCGGGTACTGATTCGGCGACTGATAGATTTGATGGTTCGCGTTCAAATTCAGCGACGCCTCCGTTGGTACGGTGAAGTTCCTTTGTTGGTCGTTGCTCGAAGACTTCTCGACGCTGCTGGCGGATTTAAGGTACTCCGACCGATGCTCCGTCTCGCTGATCGACGACGCAGGTGATTGTATGTAACCGTGATTCTGTTTGAACCCCTGGGAGTAATTCGACGGCGTCACTGTGCTCGGCGTACACTCCTCCGAGCTTTTCGGCGTCTGCGGTTGCGACGTGTAATTCGTATTCTGTTGGGGCGACGGCTGCGAGTAACTGGGAGTCTGTTGTGAGGGTTGCGGCGTGCAGGCAGACTTTTGCTGTGGCGATGGCTGGGAGTAGCTGCGAGACTGCTGCGGCGACGACGAAGGCTGCATGTAGTTACGGGACTGTTGAGGCGACGGCGATGGTTGAGAGTAGCTGCGAGACTGTTGCGGCGACGGTGAAGGCTGCGAATAGTTGCGGGACTGCTGAGGTGACGGAGAAGGTTGGGAATAATTATTGGATGGCGCTTGTTGAGGAGAAAGTTGTGAATAATTCTGCGGTGTTTGCGGCGAGTGTATAGAATGCGAATAATTCGCGGCTTGCTGAGGAGACGGTTGAGAATATTTCACCGGTTGTTGTTGCGGCGAGGGCTGAGAATAGGATGTGTTCTGAGGGGAAGGTTGAGAGTAGGTGGGTGGTGCTTGCGGCGAGGGTTGTGGGAAAGTTTGAATTTGTTGAGGCGACGGCTGAGAATAGTTCCGTGGCTGAGGGGACGGTTGCGAGTATCCTGTGAGAGGTTGCGGGGATGGTTGGGAGTAATTGGCGGAACGAGTTTGGGGACACGGATGCGAGAAGTTTGAAGGCTCAGACTGTTGCGGATAAACGGGAGGAGGCTGAGGCGATGGTTGGGAATAGTTTGCTGGCGGTTGCGGCGACAGTTGAGAATAACCGGATGATTGCTGAGGGGACTGCGCGTACGGAGAATGTTGTTGCTGAGGAGACGGTTGAGAATAATTCGGAGGCGGCGCTTGCGGCGAGGGTTGAGAATAGGGAGAACGAGGCTGTTGAGGCGAAGGCTGAGAATAATTAGATGCTTGAGGCGAAGGTTGAGAGTAGTTGGCGGTGTTCTGTTGCGGGGACAGTTGCGAGTATTTGGGGGTTGGGGATTGTTGAGGCGATGGTTGAGAGTAGTTTGATGCAGGAGGTTGAGGAGAAAGCTGCGGAAACACCTGTTGTATTGGTTGGGGGGAGTGTTGCGAGTAGGCTGGAGATGGATTCTGATTATTCGCCGGTACTTGTTGATTAAATGTCTCGCTCGGTGTTGAATTTTGAGGCAAATTAGCTTGCGGAGAACGCTGTGGGAACGTGGGCGACAACTGATGATATACTTCCCCAGTATTTTCTTGGGGTGATTTCTGAAATGACTGATGAGGTTGTTGTGGCGGTACCTGAGGTGGTACTTGAGAATAAAGAGGTGCTTGTTCGTAAGAAGATGATGGATACGCTGGAGAAAGAGGATGATTTTGTGGTGATGGAGTGGGTGGCAACTGAGCGCTGTACCTGGGCGGAGTGGCGTAGTAAGGACTGTTGTAAGGACTGCTTCCCGTCGATAGAGCATCCTGATAAAACCCAGCTCCTCTTATTTGTGGTTCTACAGAAGCTATAATGGGTTGCGCCTGTGGAGAACGTCCCGAACGTCCGGGTGGTGATTCTTGAGAAAAACTGGAAACCGATTCACTCACACTACTACCACCAGTACTCATTCTTCTTTGCCTCCCACAGAACACTTCCTGTAACTCGCCATCCTTTTTCGTTGCACCCTCTTCCAACTCGTCCTCCTTCTTCTTTGACTTTGGTGCCCCGAACGCCTTAAACCAGGCACTTAAATTTGGTGTCGCGGCTTTAGGTTTCTGCGTCTCTTTGACGTTGGTTTGATTATCTTTAGATTCTTCCACCTCTGCAGGCGTCTGCGTGGCCGGTTTCCCGGACGATGACTTTTCCTCTTTAGAAGACGTTACTGGGACTATCGGCGCAACGCTGTGATCTTCTTCTTCGTCGTCGTTGGACAAATTAGGATTAGGCGAGGACACTAAACTTTTGCAGATCAACTGAATGGAATCCACGTTCTTCAAGACTGTTCCTAAGCTAAGTTTTGGTTCCTCGTCGACGTTTTTGTTTGCCTGGTCACTATCATTAGTTAACGGACGATCCGCTGTTTCATTGACGCTCACATTAGGTAAATTAAGCGGCTTTTTTAACAGTAAGTTCCCCTTACTTTTACCAGGCTGCAAACGATCTATCGTACGCTGTATTTTTTTTGGTCTATTGGGTCCGTGAGGACCAAAGATCTTAATGGAACTTGGTCGTTTTCTCGGCGCTTCTACCTTTGGTCCAGAGCGAGCTGATTCAACAGAAGAATGAAATATTGGAGAATCGCTCCCGGAAGAAAATTCAGAGAGCCTTGGTGCGTCGTCTAACCATTTGTTGATGTCCTATTCAGAGGCAGAAAGAAAAAAGAATAAAACAATATATCGCATTATTATTGAACGAATTATCTAAACGTGAAATAGAATATATTCTTACATGGAGTGTTTGCTCCGTTGCCTGATTTAATGCTTGTATCGAGCTTTCCTCCTTTCCAAATCCTTTGGTATGCTTGCTTGTAGGTTTGATTTTTTTCGTTTCGCCTGCCTCTTGGTCTTGTGTTTTTACAGGATCCTCCGTGGTAGGAACTTTTTCTTCTTTCATTCCCTTTTTTAACTTTGGTCGTTTGACGCTGGCTTTATCGCTGTCGTTAAAGGTACTACCGTTTGAAGGCACTTTTTTTGAATACACGTTGTGAAAATCGCTTTTCCCTGTTTTTTTCGGTTTCTCTTTCTCGCCCTTCAGCTTTTCATCTCGTCGCCGCTCGCTAATCTTATCCTTTAAACCATCCAACGATTCTATATCCTTATCACCTATAAATGCAGTAATCTTCTTAGACGTAGGGGCTTCCTTTGAATCTACATCGCTCTCTAGATCTAAATCTTTGGAATCTATTTCGCTGGATATTTCACCATTTTTCACGTCATCGTTTTTCTGCTTTGATTTTTTTTCTTTGTCCTTCGCGCGGCTCTTCTCAGATTTTTCCTCGGGCTTTAACGCTTTCAATCCCGCCTTTTCTTTTTTCCGATTTTTCTTCGTTTTGATATGCTGTGTCTTGTCCTTGTTCTCAGACACCTCTTCGTCACCTAGAGGTTCAACCTTCTTTCCCTTGCTCTTCTTCGCATTATCCGTGAATATCTCGGTCTCCTCGAGTTCCTTTTTCTCAATTTTCCTACTTTTACTTTTCGCGATGACTAGGGACTCATAATCTTCCTCAAAGTCTTCCTTTCGCCTCTTATTCTCTTTCGATTCTTTCATCGGGCGCACGCTTTCCGTTTCCTTTTTTTGCTGATGACGTTCTTTACTAATTTTCTTGTTCATCTTTTTCAACTCTTCCGACTCTTTGGACGACAGCTTTTTGGTTTTCAACAATAAATTGTTTGCTTCTATATGTTTCCTTCTTTTCGACGTCACGATACTCGACTCGGACATAGCATCCTCGCTTTCCTGATCCTCTTGTTCTTCCTCGTTCACTGATTCTTCATCCTTCGCCTTTTTACTCTTTTTCTTCCCCCTCTTCTTTTTTGGAAGCTTGTAATTCTTTCCTCGTTTCTCATCCTCGTCGTTTTTCTCATTAACCTTGGATTTCCCTTTACTCTCGGATTTGTACGATTTCGACTTTTTTGTAGACTTTTTCGATCGTTTGCGATTTTGATGCGGAGAAGAAACTCGAGAAGGACACGACGGTGACGCAGGCGTGGCGACAAACGATTTTGGTGATGACGGATCTTCATCGCTGGATGTTTCGGATTCTAAATATCGATTTACAGCCTTATCGAACGCATCTTTAAGATTGAAAGCCATTTCAGTGTACTCTGTAAAGAAGTTAGATAATAATTAAAATTATAATACGATACCGCTAGATAAGAATATTACATGCGAATGACCTTCTATTAACTAGAAAAGTACCATGAAAAAACTTCTAATATTTCTCTTCTTATTTTTATAAGGAATATCTGCATTTTTCGTATTGACACACTAAAATAATTTAGATGTCACAACCTAAAACGTCCCATACTTGAGAACAAATCACCTTTAACTAACTATAGGAAAGAGGAAACTGTGTTGCATTTGTAAACATAGACACGAGCAAAAGTTATATTGATACATTTAAATTTAAATAATATTAATTGATATATACAGTACTAACCATTA